GCGCACGTTAATTCGACAGATGCCACCCTAACTAAGATATAGTATTATAGATGATAAGATGTAGAGCTCAATGCCGTAGCCAAACATGCGTGATGACAATAGAAAGCAAGTGGGGGTGGAGTAGGTATAGTGTACAAAAGTTAGTGTTCTGAGCTAGATTTCTTACCATAAACTGCCTAGTTTGTCACAAGCGTCTGTCGTTTTACGTATCGACGTTTGCAGAAAAAATACTATTCATAGTATTTAAGTTCTCTGAGTTTTTTTTTTAACTTCTCCCTAACAAATAGAATTAGTATTAAATGTACACGTGTATATATATATATTATATATATATATAGATATACGCACTGCGTAAGGTTGTGTGTTTCCGTCGTGACGAGCGTGCGTGCCGTGGCAATGCCGGCCGTGTCTGTATGGTGTGTAACAGTGTGTATTCGGCGATAATTGTCTTGACAAAGTTTCTGCACCCGTTGTAAGCAGAAGAACATGCAATACGTCACTGTGACATCTCATTGGCTGCGTTGTTTGCTCGTCTCACGCTGCTGTCATCGTGCTCATCAGGAGAACTTTGCCAGATCGGTAGCTACGGCAAACGGTTGCCGCGACGATGCGTCGGTTGCGACAACGGCGCCAATCTGCCATGTCGAACGAGAACGTGCGAGCTGCGTGTGCGACGACGCTACGAGGGCGCCCTCTCTGCCAGCAGAGAACCTGCCCCCGATGACAGATTCGGCCCTGACTGCGAGGAGACGTGCCAAGTGTGCCACACCAGGGGGCGCCGAGAGGTGAGTCGGATAACCCATGGCGATGGGAAGTAGGGATGTCGTTGGCGGCTTGTAGAGGAGTCTGCGCGAACACGAGAGAGTACGGTCACCTGGCCGGAGTGAAAGTGTGTACATTTCCTGCGTTTGACGCGTGAACGCGAGATGCAAGAGAGGAGAAAAAGAGCAAAGCGAGAGAGATGAAACAGAAGGAAGCGAAGAAGAAAGAGGAGAGCTGAGGAGTGAGTGAGAGAGAAGAACGATAGAGCGAGCGAAGCCAGAGAGAGTGAGAGGCGAGAGAGAAAAGAGAGAGAGAGAGAGAGAGAGAGAGAGAGAGAGAGAGAGAGAGAGAGACAGAGAGAAGGATAGAGGAAGCAAGCCCAGAGAGAAAAGAGAGAGGAAGAGAGAGAGAGAGAAGAAGAGAGAGAGAGAGAGAGAGAGAGAGAGAGAGAAGAGAGAAGAGAGAGAAGAGAGAGAGAAAGAGAGAGAGAAGAAGAGAGAGAGAGAGAGAGAGAGAGGAAGAAGAGAGAGAGAGAGAGAGAGAGAAGAGAGAGAGAGAGAGAGAGAGAGAGAGAGAGAGGAGAGATGAGAGAAAAAAGAAACAAGAGCTTGTTCCAAGAGCAATGCGGACGTACGTATTGGCAGGAAATTCTGTGTAATATCCTGTAGTTAATTTTGTCACGCGAACGATTATCTCTATTATGCAAAAACGTTTTGAGAGGAATCTGGGCGATCACGAGAGAGTACTAACGTGGGCCGGAGTGAAAGTGTGTACATATGCCTTTCGTTTGAGAGTGACGAACTGCAAGAGAGAGAAAAAGAGGCAAGCGAAGAAGAGAAACCAGAGGAAGCTTGAAGTGAGTGAGAGAGAGAGAAGGATAGGAGCGAGCAAGCCAGAGAGAGTGAGAGGAGAAGAGAGAGAGAGAGAGAGCGAGAGAGAGAGAGAGAGAGAGGAGAGAGAAGGGGGAAAGAGAGAGAGAGGAAAGAGAGAGAGACGAGAGAGAGAGAGAGAAGAGAGGAAGATAGAGAGAAGAGAGAGAGGAGAGAGAGAGTGAAGAATGAGAGAGAGAGAGAGAGAGAGGGAAGAGAGGAGAAGAGAGAGGAGAGAGAGAAGAGAGGAGAAAAGAAAGAAAAAGAAGCAGAGCTTGTTTTCAAGCAATGCCGGGACGTACGTATTCAGAAATCTGTGTAATATCCGTAGTTACGTTCTGTCACGACAGATTATTATTACAAATACGTCTACGTTTGATTTTATGATGTTAAAATGGCAAACTCAGCAATCATGGCGCCTGTGTTACAATAGTGGTAGATAAATAATAATTATTTATTGAGACATCTATTAACTCTTGTTGCAAGATAAAAAACGTGAGCGTTGTTACAGTTTCTTGATATTATTTCTCTAAAATGTATTTATAGTTAGGTAATTCGAGTAAAAGTTAACCAATGGAAATTAAATTAACTGAACAAAATCATGAAAGTGGCTTAAAAAGCTCAAGTTATCGTTTGGGGTACACCAAAGCAGACATAGTAGAAAACCATGTCTAAATAACATATAATTGATAATGAACGCATGAATTATTTTTAGGTCAGGATGATAGTCGGAAATTTATAGTTGATGTTTACTAAACTTCAGTCATGCAGTATCTCGCAATTTCATTATTGTATCATATATAATTAAATAATTAACACTTAATAATTAACGATTTTAATATCTTTATTGATACTATATAATTATTGAATAGTATTATAACCTATTATTACCAACAGTATTAATAATATTGTATAGTATTATAGTAATTAATGCACTCCTGTGTAATTTAACAAAGATGGACAGGAGGGTTATTATAAGTTTCCTTTTCTGCGCATTAAGCACGTTGACGTGGTTGTAACCGGCGGCTGCAGTAGCCGCCTGTCGTTCTCTTCGCGCGCGTCTGCCATCGTTCATTGACGCGCTCACTCTCCTCCACAGCTGTCATTCACGCACGGGCGCGTGCAAGTGCCGGCCTGGCCTTCGGCGCACCGACCTGTGGCGCCCCCTGTGCGGACCCCTCACCGTACGGCGCCGCATGCAAAGGAGAATTGCGAGTGTGAGAATCAGCGACTGTGGCAACCCTGTAGAATGGGCGGCTGTGGCTCGCGAAGCGGGGTACAATTGGATCGGTGAGTAAAGGGTGTGAGGTGGGGAGAGAGGGAGAAGGGGAGAGGAGGGAGAAGGTTATGACTTTCGCCTTCCTACATTGCTCTTTCTATGTCCATTGAAAACAATTGGAATTGTATTGCATAGGATATCTCAAACAGACACCGCCAAATAGGACAGCTGAGAAAGTATATGATGCATACTATAGAGAAAAATATTTAAAATTAAATAGTGCTTTTTTAGCGTTAATTTGTTCGATATAATATTGCATTAACCAATGTTCATAATATTATATAATTATAGTATGTTAATATGTATAATGCATACAGCAAATGAAACGAAATAAAATTGTGTATGATTTTGTTTTCAATGATTTGATAAATGGTTATATCGCAGGAGTGAAATAATAGATATCTCTATTATTCACATTCTGTTATATGTATATATGGTTGTAATATATATATAATATTATTAATGTTTATGGCGTGTTTTGGT